GTGTTAGGGGAGGGGCCATGCTCGGTGGCTCCATTGTGTCATCGAGCCACCGTTTTAGCCCCACCCAAAAAAATCCTGAACACCGAATTGTTGAAAAACAGTTTAACGGTTTAACTCCACAATTCAGTACTACATACTTCAGAGTCTTTGTAATGTGTTTCTGCAATACATTTCTAACATTTATAATGTGTTTAGAAACAATTCTCAGAATTCTCTTTACACGGACTTTAAAAAGTCTTAAATCTGAGCTTAAAAATCCTGCAGAAACCCTGGTCATTTTTATTGACATTAATGATTAATTGGTTGTTAATGCCACTGTACAAAATCTGTGTAGGACTCAAAAACCATGTGCACACTAGGGTTGTGACGGTGAGGAAATTTTCCCACCGGTTAATCGACGTGTGACAACACCGGTAATACCGTGGGGGCGGGGGCGTTCCCTCTTTTCCTCGCTTTCCTTTGCTTTTAAATAGCTTGTAAAAGCTGCGTGCGTATTTTACTTTCACTTTCAAACAGTGGCAATTCGGCGTAAAGCAATTCTTCGTTTGAATTTTCCCTCTTTTCCTCGCTTTCCTTCGCTTTTAAATAGCTTAAAAGCGCCGTGCGCATTTTACTTTAACTTTCGAATTAGCGGCAGTTCGGCATCAATTGCTTGAATGCAACAACAAAATACAAAGTCAAACTCACTTTAGCCTATATATAAAACATAAAAAATAAAAAAATACACCATGCTATAGGGCAGGATATGCCAAATCAGCATACTAAATCAGCATACTATCATCTCAAAAACATTGCAAGAATTAGATGTTTTGTTTCCAGTCAAGACTTGGAGAAACTTGTTCATGCCTTTATCACCAGCAGGGTGGACTATTGTATAGCCCATTTTTATCCACAAATAAAATTATACCTGACATATGTGAGCATTGATATTTTTTTCTCTCTTAATTAAGCATATTTGTGCTGCAATGGATCCATTAAGCATTTCGACTGTTGATTTAATCAAATTATTTAATGCTATTGATCCTTGATTAGCCCAGTCACTTGTATGTTAGATGTTGACACATTAATTTTACTTTCTTGTGTGATGTTTTACCTTTGCTGTGACGAAATTAACCAAAATTCACAAAGGTAACCTCTTCATCTCTCACTCTCTCCTCAGATGATGCAGTTTTCTTGGGATAATTACAAGCGCTACGCCTGGGGCTCCAACGAACTGCGTCCCGTCTCTAAGCAAGGCCACTCCAGCAATTTGTTTGGTGAGTGTCTGTCTAGAGTGTCTATCTGACCATGAAACTATGATTCGTGCACGTACAGCTTCATGTCCCAACAGTAAATTGGTAAGCAGTCAGAACTGTCAATCAATGCTGCACAGGTGGTTAGGTGACCTCCATCAAAAAGGCTTTTGATTTCTCTCCGGTCTGTCTCACTTCACAAGCTCCGTCTGGGTCTATTTCTGCTTTCAAGAGGACAAACAAAACCATTTCTGACTTCATCGGGCAGGAATAGCACGGTCACACCGCACAAATATAGTTTCACGATACCTTGATCCTCTTTGGTGCCTTTTTCGCATTAATGTGTTTTCCTTGCCTGTAAAGAAATGTTGTTTTGCTGCTTTTGCCCATCACCCTCTTGACCTGTTTCTATTTTGAAGCTGAAAAGCACAGGTTGTGAGTGGGCATACTAATCTGTGAATAATTCATGAAGGACTGTCCATCTTCCTGTGAGGTTTGTAATCTACATCAATAACTAAGAGGATGCAGCAACAACACATTATCACACTCTTATGCTACCTGCATGTTGTAATATGCATAATTTAGCTCATCCCAGAAATGTTACAGTGCCTTCCAAAAGTTTGGAAACACCCTAGAAAATGTTTAGAAAATATCAGCATGCATTTACACCAAAAAATAGTAAGGATTTGAATAACTTGCATTATCATTCAAGATCAACAATGAAGAGTTTTACAAATAATAATAATGGCAATATACTGTATACATGTCACAGTCAGACATGCCCCTGCTGGATTAAACTTGGCTCAGATTTTTTATTTATTTACTTATTTATGTATGTGTGTATTTTTTTATTTTTTTTTAGTAGATTATTGGGTCAGCACATTTTTATAGCTTCACTGATTGATTAACAATTAAGTGTACACAACTGAACAATTAAAAGATTTTAAAAATCATTTATCAGACAGCACTAGTATTTTCCCTGTTTGTTTATTTAAATTATTTTTTAATTTTTTTAATTTTTTGTCTCTTGTCAATGCGGAGTCATCGTCAAGTTATAAAAATTAATGCTTTCTTGTATGAATGATGAATAATGAAATGATAATGAAATCTCTTTACAGATGAAAATTAATGATGCACCCTTTTCATTTCTTGAAAAATGATTGATTGCATTATGATTCAGTCAAAAACACTGGCATATTCTGTTTTTAAACACATTTGGAAATTGTGAAATTGATTTTCATTTCACTGTTTTTGATTATATTTTTATTCTGTTATTAGATGTTTGATGTTTATATACTGAAGAAAAAAAACAAAACTATTTCACTGTAAGTAAATTCCACAAACAATTACGAAGAAATGGCAAGTAACACTGAAATGTTATTTTCTTGTAAAACATACTGCAACAATCTTTGTTTTAGTTCCAACGTCGGAAAATAAACATTTACAGCATAGTCATTAGTTAATTAAAAAAAAAATTCTAAGCACAAGCAATTTTAGAATAATAATTTTATTATTTGCAGTTGCAGACAATTCTGGTGCATCACTATTGAAAATCTGATAAAATGAGGGTTTGCGTTTTGACTGCAAACTTTTTTTTTTTAACCCTACAGACAATTTCCAGCCCTGTATCCTCTTAATTAATCGAGTTCTCTGACTCTTGTAAGTCATGCATATCGCTGTTTTTTTAGAATAGAGATTGAGTGTGTTATGAATGATTCATCAGACGTGCTGCTGTTGTGTTGTAAACTCCACATTGTCAATTGGCACTCAGCTGGAGGGCAGGCCGGGGATTTACAGCGCACATTTGATTAACCTCTATAATTTTGCTTCGGACGTGCCAGTAGAATATACAGTCTTAATTTATTTGGCTCAGACACTATCAGAATAGCAATTTGGCAAGAAGTACATTACACTCTTTCTCATGCGCTCTAGCCTTGCGTGTGTGTGTGCGCTTTAAAACGGCTCCCATGTCAGTCAAAGTCAGACAGCTCTCTCACATGCTATTACCTCCCAGCCTTTTTTGTTGTGCAGTGCGTTTCCAGGCAGTTTTGAGTGCTCGTCAATTTCTCAAATAGTAAGGTTGGCCCTATGGGGCGTACGGCCACATCAGAGACCATTGAACACACGTTTTGTCTGGCAGGGTTTGCCATTATAAATTTAGAGGTTGGGTTAATGGTACGTTGGCTCTGAATAAAAGATGATCTGGAATATGCTGGTCAGGGTTTTTGTACCTGACCAGGCAGCTGGAATGACTGTTTTGTGCTGCTTTAGATCTCGTTCCTCAGTGAGATGTGAGCTGCTGAGACCGGCCGGTCGGATCACACACGCCGATGCGTAGCGTAAGACCTTACTGGAAGTCGTGATCACCGGGGGCGGTCACAAAAACAGACACTTTACAACCCACAGGGCTTTAGCGCACAGAGAAAAATCAGGCTGCAGTCACGCCATATGGAAGTGCTTAGTCAAGACATTATGCCTGCTTGTGTGTTCCGGACGTGTGAGATTGTTGCCACGTGTCTTGAATGTATTCTGTACCATGCCGCATGCACACAGACGAGGAGCGTAAAGGTCTTTCTCTCACGCATTTGACCTCACTTACATTAAAGTGCATTAAATCTTGTGCAGTATACGGCAAATTTCTGATGAATTGCATTTAACCAGCCATGAAAAAATGATTAAGGCTTCAGAATCCGTGGATTAGAGTGAGTTTAAATATTTCACACACTCTGGGTTTGTTTAAGGCCGTTGAAACTACATTATAGTCTAGGATAGAAGCTAGGAGACTGTGTTAATCTTTAAGTGATGTTTATCATTTAATAATTTGATCGATTACACTGAGGACTGTTGATTAGTAATTAATTGAAGTTCTGGTACTTTTGACATCTCTGGTACTACAACAGCTACATAAAATGTCATTTGAGCAGATTGGGATATGGGAGTGGAGAAAGTTTTGTAAAAAAAATAAATAAAAAATAGCAACATTCTCTCCATAATTTGTTTAAATTGAATGTTCCATATGTCATTCATGTAAATAAAGTAGTACATAAAAATAATTTAAATTGATTTGAGACATTATTCATAAGTTTATTAATTTATAAGATGATCGTGTTGTTTATCACCATTGCGTTTTTCAAAGTTTATTGTGTATATATAGCACTTTTTTCCCCCTCCATATCATGCAGCCCTAATTATTCTTAAAGCGATAGTTCACCCAAAAAATTTAAATTCTGTCATTAATTACTAGGGTTGCAAAAAGGTGGAAAATTTCCAGTAAATTTGGGAAACATTCCAGAAATTTTGGAAACTTTCCAGGATTTTTTTGGAATCTTCCAGGGATTTTTGGAAAGTTTGCGGAAATTTACCGGAAATTTTCCACCCCTTTGCAACCCTATTAATTACTCACCCTCATGTCGTTCCAACACTGTAAGACCTTCGTTAATCTTCGGAACACAAATTAAGATATTTTTGATGCATTCCGAGAGCTCTCTGACCCTCCCATAGACAGCAAGGATCCTTACACGATCAAGGCTCAGAAACATAGCAAGGAGATCGTTCAACAGTGGTTCAACAGTAATTTTACGAAACTACGAGAATACTTTTTGTGCACAAAGAAAACCAAAATAATGACTTAATTCAACAATTCGTCTCCTTCACATCACCCTATAGTGCCATTTTGGAGAGTATCACATGCGTAAACAACGTATGTAGGCGGATACATTGTTTACGTTCAGATCAAAATGTAAACAATGTAAACAGCGTATCCGCGTGCGGTGCTGCTGACACATAACAGCATATGTTGTTTACGTATGTGATACTCTCCAAAATGGCACTACAGGGTAACGCGGAGGAGACGAAAAGTCGTTATTTTTGTTTTCTTTGCGCACAAAAATGCATCATAAATATCTTAATTTGTGTTCGAAGATAAATGAAGAGTGAGTAATTAATGACAGCGTTTTCATTTTTGGGTGAACTATCACTTTAATTGTAATTTTAATGGCATGGTTTTTGGGTGTATTTGTTTAAATTATCTTTTAAAAATGGGCTACATGCATGTCAGCTATCTTGCACAATTAACAATTCAACACCTGATTGGTTGATATTTTAATGAGAAATATCAGTATCAATATTTTTATTAAAATCAATATTTAGTTTTTGTTGGATTATTTCATTGCACGATTTTACTTTCTGTAGCTTAAACAGTAGAGCATGCTGCTATCAATGCCAAGGTTATGGGTTCGACTCTCAGAGAAAACGAGAAGTGTAATCTGAAATAAAACATGTACCCTGAAAGCAATATAAATCACTTTTGATAAAAAGAAAAAAAATACATGGAAAAAAATAGATTGGCTGAACTTTGTTGGCTGAGCTCAAACAGTAGAGCATGGCGATAGCAATGCCAACACTGTAAAAAGTAATGAGTTGAACTTACTTGGAAAACCTGTGCACAAAGACAGAAAACAGGTACAGAAAACAGGGCATTTATTTGTTTAATAAAACAATGTTACTTCAAGTCATTATGTATATATATATATATATGTATATTTTTTATTTTATTTTTTATGTCGTCTCCAATCACCTTTACACGTTCACATTGCACATACGCAGGGACTCCCAACACATTGAAGAAATTAAAATAGCAGTAGCAGAACACATTGCATCCACCTGAAAGTTCACATAACACAGTGTAATTAAGTAAATTCAACAAATTAGTAAAAATCAGTTATGTTTACTCGCTTTTCTTAAGTAGATTCAGTGATTACTTTTTACAGTGAAGGTCATGGGTTTGATTCCCAGGGAAGTCATGAAACTTGGATGCAGTATAAGTCACTTTGCATATTAGCTTCTATTAAATGCATTAATGTAGATGTTATAAAGAAGGTAATCTGTGTTGGAATATTCCACCAAATCCTATTTTATTGTGCATGGAATAGACCAATTTGCTGAATTTGATTTGCTGAACTCCATTTGATATTTTCTATAACAAAATCTACTCTTTGCATCACTCCACTTTCCAGACCCCACAG